GCCTCTGTGGAATTCTGCTATACCTAACTTCCTTGTGGGTAGTATCAGCGTGGTTTAACACATTTGGATGTTTCTAGTGCACTCTGTTACCCTATCACCATGGTGGTGTATATCCTGTCTGATCAGGATAGCTACTCTACTCCCCAGAGATCCCTCCTTCCTGTCCTGTCTGTGGACCTGTTTAAGACTAGTTCGGGTATATGGTCGTCATGAGTTTCAGGTAGAACAATTACTTCCATTTTGGTTTCCCCAGCCACTGTGGCCAGCTGAACCCATTTATTTCTAGTACTACATGCACAGGCGTGCATTAACACAAGTGCTCTTCCAGCTCCAGCGAAGCGCTTACTGCTTACTCTGATCTTCTCCTCGGGCTTCAAACCCGAGTAGACACCGTTTGCTCTAGCGCGCGGTGTTACAGCTTTGAGAGGCAACCTGGTCTCTGTGATTAACGGGGTTGCTCAGAAACAGTACAGCCTTTTTCAACTACCACAAAGAAACCAATTGCATTATAATCTCTAGTGTGAGGTCCTCTAGGATATCCTCTATTAGTACAAAGTTAGATTTGCTAAGGGCGAGGGTACTCGTTTTGTTTGCTTCACCGGGGCCTTAGTTTACACCCTTCCAAAGATTGTGCATTGGTTCCTCAGGGATGATTTTGACTCGCCCTTTTTGGTTCTTTATCCCATTTCTGCTCCTGAAAAAAGTAGATATTTACTTTGCAGCTTATCGAAATTAACCAATAAGAGTCTAAATAGCCCCTTCGGTGCTCCCGAGATTAGGTGGTTTCCACCTTTCAAATCGCTGCACTCTCCTGAGGGGAGCCCCAGATAGTCTCAATATGTGACGAGCTCTTTACCCATCCATTTTCCGCCCAGTTTTTGATTCCAATATAGTCTTTTTCTCATTGTCAAGAACTAGAAGGTTTTGACGAAGTTTTGGGGAGGGAATTTCTACTGCATGGAGGCTTTTAGAGCTCCACCATCTAATCTATCTATACTTCCTTTTGAGGGAATGAAATTTCCATCTGTTTCAGGTTTCAAACTTCGGTTGGGCATGGGTCAGTTTGCATTTTGGTACACTTGTGACAACTTGGTTTCCCTTGGCTGTTTGTACACAAAGAGCCACTGGAAATCAAATGGTCTTAATCCATTTCATGCTAATCTTCGTACTACCTCGAGATTCATTCATTGGTTTTACCAGCATATTGTACATATTGTTATTACATGTATACATATTAACTGATTATATATAATTATATTTATATTTATACTCTAATGTAATATGCGGATACTCATATTTGAATTCAGACTGTTGAACTCATTGCATTAATGTAGTGATGATGATAAATATCACTAAGGCCTCTTAGTTATCTTATTCAATTCACATACGAGTTTCACTGGGACAGTGATCATCTCCGCATTGTTAGTTGAGTTCTGTTTAAACCTCGGAGGAGGCAACTATGCTGTATGTGTCGTATTGCATCTTTTCTAGCGTCTAGTTTTCCTTTTGCTGCTCATTTAATTTGTTAGGTGATACATAAACGGAATAAGTGGGTACACAATTGCTGTACCAAGCGTTCCGGTAATATTGAGATCAAAAGTTGTAGCATAACTAAATTTAGCTCTCACAAAGTGGCTGTACAATAGCGGGATTCCTATAGCGTTCCAACTGAACACCTGCGTCAGTTGTGTTGAGGCTTCCACTAATGAACTGTTAGTAGAAATTATGTGGTATTGCGCAACTTTATCCCTGTATTCAATTACTAGGGTGAGATTTTGAAGCTTTCATCAAACATCTTACTCTGAAACCAGTGGGTTCAACTAGATAGCTTTTAGTGCACAAACGCATTTATAAAGGAAAACGTTTTGCTGGTTAGGATTTGATAGTGGGTTTAACAATTTTTTCGACGTAGTCGGATAATGAGGAGGTCTAATGTTTTCCACCGTCATCCTACGGGGTTGCTCAGTATAGAAGCTACGATTAAGGGAACTATCCAAGTTGTCCTAGATCATATAAAAAATAAAACTCTTTGACCGGCTTATGTGATGGACTACGTAGTCTCAAAGTTTTAAAAAGTCCGTAGTCCATATCAAACGACTTTAGGAGGGATAAGATAAAACCATGGACATCCCATTTTGCCTCTTAGAATCGTCTGATTTGACGCCCTGCCTTAGGTTCCACTAAAAGGATTCAAGAAAACTGAGCAATTTGAATGAACTCTTTATCTATAAGCCAGACATATGCCTCGTTGAGGAAGAATAGATCATTAATGAATTATTCTCTACTGAGTATTTTGATATAAGTTGTGATGTACTGGTCTGTAGTGAATCAACGCAAACTAGTTATTATGTTCGTTCTATACTGTACGGTCATTGTACATTGGCCAAGGAAACATTGGATACCCTGTAGTTAAGCAGAGTTGAATGCTACCAGGCGCCTCCCCGGGTTGTGGGTAGGGGGATACCTTCACCGAAGAACGTTAGCTGTGAATAAGTTGTGGCATACCGCAACAAATAAGCGGTCGCGAACAAGCAGCAGCGGCACTACCAGGGTTTGGTTGGTTTCAGGCTGGTCACCTGGCTCCTGTTTAAAAGCCACTTAAGCTCAATGACGATGTCGTGACAAAGGTCAACGTGACTGACCTTTTAAAACTAAAGTCATTGACCTCCGTCACTTTCGAGGCGAGGGCTTACTTCCTGCTGTCTTGCCGTTCGCACTTGGTTATGCAAAGGCTAGAGGTGCGTCCTCAAAATAAAAAGGAACGCCGAGTGACGTTGGTTACGTCTCTCGTACCAAACTCCCAAGGAACTCCATGATCTTAATCATGATTATGTCTGGAGCCAACATGTCCTTTCCAAGGAGCCAGCCGCAGTAAAGTAAGTAAAGTAAGTAAGCAAGGAAGCATTTTGATACCAAAATAGCACGTAGCATACACAAATAGTTATGTAATTCCCAGGTGATAAGATGGTTCAAAGATGCTCACAGTATGCAGTGAACAATTAATGAACGATTATCAAGGTGGGTTGAGGATGACATATTCATATGGTATGAGTTAGATAAAAGAACCGATAGAAATCAAATAGCATGACGATTGGAAGATATGCATGATGTGTTGGAGAGAGACAACGGTCATAGAGAGAGCGCGGTGAATGGTGCTCGAGGAAATACACTCAATGAATGGACTAGGCATGCAGAGTATCTTAGAATGAATGTTTGATGAGTTAAAAGGTATTGTGAAACGTAATCACCCATTAGTCTGAAGTGTCTGTTACATGGCTCATGTCCAAATTCGAAGTTGGGTAGAACTGTGGCACCAGAATCGAGGCAGTGCTAGGCATTGGTCATTGGCAGTATTCGAAACCACTACGGTGGTGGGGATTCTTTGCATCTGTTTACAAACAGAGTTCACTAATCATTATCTTCCACAATTGTTTAACTTGTGGTCAAGATATACGGAAAGAATTTCTTTCTTCTGATCTAACAGTTAAAATAACAGCTGCAAAACCTAGATAGTATACACTGTAGCTTGATGAGGAGATTACCAGTGTTCATCCATTTTTCAAATTTGACACACTTTCACAGTGAATGAGTGATAGAACTTTCATTTGCTGTCTCCAAAAAATATCCATAGTTTGATCAGTTAGTCAAGTCAGAAAAACGGTTTCAGGCACAAATTTGTTGTCCACTTGTTATGTTGGTGGATCACGGAAAAGAGATTGAAGCCAAAACTAATGATATATATATATATATATATATATATANNTATATTCACAGACGTCTGTGTTCAGGTGGTGTGCCAAACAAAGTAAAGTGCAAAAATCTTTATAAAAAGGAAAAGTCCGTGATTTCCTTGTAGGCGTGATGCTGCCAGGTTTCCCAGACCAAAGCAGGTAAATTTTCTTTGGGAATTGGGTAAATGTGCATTATAAGCACCTGATTAGATTGAGGGTCAATGGAGACCACACAAAAATCACAAATGTGAGAAGTCTGCTAGAGAAATTTTGAAATTAACCAATTACAGGAACACCCTAGACACGTGCCACATTGTTGGACTGTTTGAATAAATAAGCCAAGGAATTTGTTGATAAAACTCTGATAAGAACACGATATTTGTTACCGAAAAATACTAACGATAATGAACCTCTCATAATTGATCTATTATGCTTTGAAAAGCCCCTTAAAAAGTACCCAAAAAATCGCTCCAACTGCCAACTGATCATGGTTCTTGAATTGCTCTGGTGACTCGTAGAAAAATGATTATAACTTCATGTCACAACATGTGACATGCTAACGATTCGCAGTAATACATGGGTTGCTGGAATACCAGGCATACAAGCTGTTTCCAGTGCTCATTGGTGATGAAGTTTGTATGCGTAGATTCTCGAGTTACGTTATTAAACTTTTTTTATTTTTTATTACACACTTTCGTGTGATGAATAGCAGACGGGGTAAACCCCACAGTCACGAGGACCTGGTGTTCAGTGACGGAAACCGGTAACCTAAGTCCTGAGACTTGGAGTAACGAACCACATAAGCCCCCGATAGGATAGGCGTGATGTTGAACCGGACGACAGCAGAGCTGCCTACCACCAAAGTGGGTGGCGGTGGCGGGGCTCGAACCTCGGACCATGGGATCCAAAGCACGCCGGGGACAGCGATTAAAACACTGCGCCACCGCCACCCCCTTAATTAGTACCTATCATTTTCCGACCGGAATAAATCCGGTACTCATTCAATCCCTTTGCTTTGCTTTAATCGAAATGCCTCAACTTTCACAGCCGAGCTGAATATATGTAAACTGAAGGAGTGACTGGGGAAACATATGCTTCCAGCCTGTACATCAGCCAACAACAATGAGTGGTAAGGATGCATGGGATTAAACCTACATAATTCTAGAAAAAATGCTGACCCTGATGCGAACTCTTGAGCAAGAATTTCGCCAAAATCGTCGATTGAGAATGCTCCGTGCTACCGGTCACTGTTCAGCCGTCATTGCCAGCCCCCTGTTTGACAGATGTAAAGAAATTCAAAAAGTATTGGAAAATTCAAAACCGTTGGTGAGTTCTCTTTGTTTATCATAACGCGTATACATTCTCCTGAAGAGAGGTGCATGCTTTATGGGACACATTTTGATTACGGATTTGAGGTCCTGAACTA